TTTATTGGAATCCTTCACAATGTGGTAAGAACATCACAGCTCCAAGACTAGACAGAGACAGCTCCAAGACTAGACTAGACAGTAGACATTAGTCATTACTGCTTTTCATTTGTCAAAAGAATGTTTAAATAGCATGTGACAGCTGATTACAATTAACAATTGAGCTTTAACTCAGAAATAACACAGCATGCAATTAAGACAACACATTATTAAAAACATAATGCAAAAACTGAGAAATGAAAACCACCTCTGATCTGTGCCATACCCGCTGAAAAACAGAAATGTAAACTCACTTAGTCAACAAGGATACACAAACACCTTCAATTTATTCAGTGTAAGCAGGAAAGTGAACTGGCCCAAAGATATAAAGAAAAAAGATATCTATCTATATATATAAAGAAAATGAAACAGATGGTACACAAGTGTCCAGTACAGGGTCTAGGTACCACAATTTTCCCCACCTGAGAAGAACAGGACTCAAACCTGATGTGACCCTTGAAGGTGAGCACTCCTACCGGAGTAGTGGTTTTCCTATTGCCATTCCTGGAAGGTATACAGTGGATACAGACCACTGCTTAACAAATTCTCTATATCACAAAGGAAAAGTTTCACCACTCACAGGAGGGGTCCAGAACTCATCGGGGTGCTTCCATTCCAAAGAAAAGAATATCTCAAATAGCAAGTGCAGAGGAAAGGTCTTTGCAGCTGTAACATCCTGAAAGACCTAAGGCTGGGGACAGGATGATCCTCCAAATGCAGGGTAGTACACACTGCATCAGTAAGGTCTGAAACAACCTCTTGTAATTCTGAGATGAGATTAGGGCCTACAGGTGATTGAGAAAACCTTACATAGTAGATCAATTAGCAAAAAAAGGACACAGCGAGTTCATAATGACACGTTTGAAGTTTTTATTGCCACACAACAAACTTCAAATTTAATGGCAAACACTATTGCCAGGCCCAAGGCACAGCTATGGACACTAAATGTGCCCCGGCCTATGCCAATCTCTGTCTTGGGGACTGAAAGTCTTGGCTATTTGCGGAGGGGTGTCGCCAGTGTGTCTGTCCGGGATTTTATCCTGGTACAGGTACATCGATGACGTCCTCATTGTTTGGACAGGTACGGTAGAAGAGATAGGGGAATTTGTGGGAAACTCTTGGCAAACCCCTATACCTTCGCTTTACAAGTGATTGGCATCAGAAAAGGGTCACGTTTCTGGATTTGTCAATAAAAAGAACTCCACAACTGCCAATTCAAACTACCTTGAATAGAAAGCCAATAGCTACAGTTTGTTACATGCCAAAAGTTTTCACCCACGTTCCCTAGTGAAGGGCATTACCGTTGGGCAATACTTAAGAGCTCAAAAGGAACTGTACAGATTTGAAAGATTTTGAAATCGAGGCAAAGGAGCTACGAAGTAGATTCCATAGAATATAGGACAATTTGTTAACATCCGCTTACAAATGGGCCAAGGAGAGTGATCGAGAAAAGCTATTGTTTGGACAACACAAACAGGCATAAGTGGGGTCAAATTATGCTTTTAATACACAGAATTAACAGACGGGGTGGAAGTAGTATGTGCCAAGCATTGGCACCTATTATCACAGAACCCCCTAGTGGGAAAACTGGTGAACACTAAATCAAAAGGCCCAGTCCCTTCCCTGGGAGAACTTTTGGTCCATTACATGGAGACTCCGTACTCAGCCTAGAAGAGCAGGTCTATTTAGGTGTGGACGATGTGAGTACTGCGTGTACATTGTAGAAGGTGACAGGTTGGTCTTGCCCACTGGAAGGACCTTCAGGTGCAATCGGAGAGCCACATGCGATACCACTGGAGTCATTTATATCATAACCTGCGCCTGCAGGTCGTAGGTCGGCAAGACCCTCAGATCAATACGTAGACATTTTCAGGATCACATTTATGATACTTACACATATCATTTGAGAGCCCCTTTAGCACAACACATTTGTCTGGAGCATGATCGGGATCCATCCTGTCTTAGATGTTGGGTTGTCGAAGGATATGGAGCACTGAGGGGGATAAATTAAGGCGTTCCCCTTTACAGCCACATCTATAAATTTTTTTTATATATATATATATATATATTTTCATTCAGGGGGCCTTTGTCTGTTCTGATAAAGTTACTACTTTCTTCTTGGTCCATCTTGTGGTTTAATATGGGCATTACATAAGCTGTTTAAGGCATTTTTCTAATTACAAAGAAATCTGCACCCCCATGATGTGCCTCCTTTGTAGAATTGATTTAGGTTATGGATAATTTGTTGCGAGTCAACGGTATTTGGTTTAACAATTTTTTTTCTTATTTTTTGGCTTTCCAATCTCATTTGTTCCATCTTTCCTTTTTCTTTTCAAGCCAAGGTCAGGTAGACCAAGAAAGATTGAATCCCCGACAATTCTTCTGTCAGTTATGGCTGTAATCTTGGTCTACCTGACCTTGGCATCAAGAGATCCCCAAACTTTCCACTTCTTAATAGGTGATTTAACAGTACTGATTGGCATATTCAAGGATTTGGATATCTTATGTTCTTTTCCATTTTTTATAAAGTTCCATTACCTTGTTACGCAGGACTTTTGACTGTTCTTTTCTGATCCCCATGGCTCAGTATATAGCCTAGTCAGTGCTTCCACATAAGAGCTAACAAACTCATTGACTATTTATACACTGACACTAACTGCAATTTAAAAAGCCACAGATGTGGAACATTAACCTCTAATTGGCATTTTAACCCGTGTGTGTGTCACCTTGTGTGTCTGTACCAAGGCCAAACATTCCAGGGTATGTAAACTTTTGATCCGGGCCATTTGGGCAATTTCTGTTATTAGGATTTAAAAAGGAGCCAAACAACTACTTGATAATAAATGGCTTCATATGATAGTTATCCTTCAATAAGAGCGCATTTTGAGTCATATTTTCAATATCAATGCCAAAATTTCACAATTTGTGCCAGTGTATGCAAACTTTTGAGCACAATTGTATGTATGCTATGCAGTAGCTGTAAGAAGTGTGAGGGAGGTTTGTGTCTACACAAGGTGTTTTTGGGTCAATATATACCCTTATTACTATTACACTTTTCCTCCTCCGGACCACACACAGATATTAGTTTATTACTTAGACGTCTGTGGCTGGATTACATATATATTCGTCTACAAACAGGTCCGTAAAGCAAAATTACACCTGATATCACCTTTAGTACAAAAAGTGTATTGGGACTAATTTGGCTCATCTATCTATGATATGCTATGAGACCCGGAGATTCAGGCATCAACCGACATAAAATCTTGTGGTCACTCAGTTTATCCTTATCCGTCCTCTATGGCTGTCCTTTTTCTGAGAGCTCTCAGCTTTGGTATTTAATTGGTCAACTATAAAGATATAACAAATACATATATATTATTTGGATTAAATTGGATACCCAATTGATCTTGCGACATGACCCATGACACTTATGAGCATTTATGTGTTCGTGTTTTTAATTAATAAAAGATAATTGTAAGTCAATTAAAGCGGTTGGTATATACATTTTTTTTCCCCACTTTTTGACACGACTCTAGAAAATCTTATTTGGGCTGAGGTATTGAGCTAAATCCATATACTTTATATAAGAATTTTTTTTGGCGTACAAAAAAATTCCCCCCCCCATATTAATAAGAGCGATACCTGGTAGGATCATATTTTCTTAATTCTGAGATGACTGCAGTGCTTCATAGACTCTTCAGAAACAGAGTGTAGGGACTCAAAGTAGATGGTCACAGCAACCAGGGGACAGGAAAGTCCAGAAGAAGGTGCTGTGGCAAGCTTAGAACCTCTGGGGGAAGTAATGTGATGAATTGGGTGAATATTGCCACAAATTCATGAGTGACTGGAGTAGAGGTCTGTCACGGCCATGTAGGAGAGTCAGCCTCACCCTGAAGGAGACTCCAATGGTTTAGACCATATGGGATCCAAGGAATCAAGATTGCAGGTGTCGGTTCCATCAGAGAATATCAAGTAAATGCCCCTAAAACAGTATAGGTTAAGGTTACTCAGAGCAAACTGTCCCCTCTGGGTCTATGTGCAGACAAGTTGCACCTGCATGACAGAAATACAATTTGGCGCAAAGAGTCCTCGAGCACCAAACAAATGCCGGAAGGTGACCAGAGTCACTGTAGGCAGATAGTAGGAACAAGTCGGAAATAGAAGTTCCATGTTGTCCTTGAGGGGTAGGAGCAGTAGCAGGATACTACTTTAATGCTGATTAACAAGACAAAGATCCGCATGCATGACACTCGAATTAAGTGGATGTATGTCAGCGCTCGGTACCTCAGTCTTAACCCTTAGTACAGTAAAGCTGGTGATGGTGGGAAATTTAGAGCTGCTCAGTGGTCGAAATGATGAGGTAGCGCCTGATGCTCAGGCTGAATAGCCTACTGACAGAGCAAGTCTTCAGGGACAGGGCAAATGCTGAGACAATGTGCCAGCTCTGGAACTAGCACCATGACTCCTAATCCAGTGAGGTCTGGATAAGGCACTTCAAAGCCAGGTTGAGGAAAAGGCCTAGCAAAATCTAGTAAAAAGCCTGGACTTCTCAACAGAGCTGAATAAAAGAAAGTCACATTTCTCTTGCAGTGTCCTATAGAGTCACCCTTGCATGCAGAAACTAGAGCCGTCTCCCTATACTGCGTGCATCCATTGAAACACACATCATCCCTGTAGCCTAGGATGGCAAAGCACCCCTCTGCACTTCTCCTTCCTTCATCAAGCTAACAAACTAGCTGGGGACTGCACTGTCCACTGTTGGCTCTTTCCTGTGAAGACAAGAAGTTTAGAGAAGTAGCAATGAAAAAGAGCCAGCAGCACTGGAATTTGTAAAAAATGCAAATGCTGGGGTAAAATTTTTAACAAAATATTACACTGGGTAACAGTTACTTTATTGTGCTCAATGTGATGAACTAAATTTAACCTCCTTAGCGGTATTCCCGAGTGTAGCTCGGGGTAAA